TGTGTGTGTCTGTGTGTGTCTGGTTCACCCAAGGTCGAGTGTGTCACTGTGTATAAATGGACAATAGATAAAACTGCATACGTGTCGTGCTTCACATGTCGACCTCATCCCCCCCCGATGCTGCAGCAGCTGTTGATTTAAAATGTTTCTCAGGTCAAAGACACTCGATGACTTTGATTGTAACTCAGTGGACTAATAATGACTTTAATAAAATAACTGTTGTGTTAATAAAACCTGAACGTTGTTCATTTATGATCTGGATTATTTTTAAATGTGGAGCCATGTCGATGTCGACATCATGACATCATGAATGTTTCATTTACATTTCATCACAGGATATGAACTCTGACCTTTTATGATCTCACCCTGACAAATTCAAATCTAAATGAAAATGCAACATGTGACCCCGGATTGAGAATATATTATATCATATATGTATTATTGATAACTGATTGAAAGACAAACAGGAAGAGAAGTCATCATTTCTTTATGTGACGAAGTGAAAACAGAAGCTGAGAGATTTCAGATGAATGAACCAGAACACCTCCACCTGTGGCATCAACAAATACTAATCATGTGCAACTAGTTAACTCAACTTCTCTGACTCCTGAACGTCCAGTGAGTTCATTGATGTTCACCTCAGGACGTTTGACAGAATCCACATGTGAATATTAACTCTGACACTTCACATTAAGAGTCGTGAAGCTCTTTTGTTTTGAAAGGACAGGCTGACGGGTGTGTCACTCAGTCAAGTAGAAAACCTGCTCAGGTGTTTTCACTTCTTCACGCTCATCAAATCTTTTCAGCTCTGACATCGTATGAATATTTCACACGTTTGTGTTTGATGGTTATTAGAGCGAAACAGATTCTCAGCCTCATCACACGTCGTCAACTGGTTCGAAGAAAATATTTCATGGTCAGGACTGCTCTGATTTTAAGAATCACAAAATAAACTAAAACAAAATAAATAAATAATAAACATTTACAGACAGAAGAATCTGAAAAGTTTAAAGTTCATTATAACTTCAGCAGATTTATTTCATCCACGTGACGACAACGTGAATTAACGCAGTTTTATTTTACATTTGTTGTGATGATCAGTGTGAAAAGTTGTGAGAGTGATAGAAAAGTCATTAAGTCAAAGAATCTGCTTCTCAGGGGAGAAACTCTGCAACGCACGAGGTCAAAGTTTAGAAATAATGTGGAAAGTGTGAGATAAGAAGAGAAAGATAACGAGAGACAAACATAAAAACTGCGAAACTCAACATTAACACAGAAAAACCTGCGAGAACACTTTAAATACACGAGTCAATGTTTCATGAGTGAATCTGTGACGAGATTGACGCTGATTCAACAAACTGGGTCAAGATCATAAAGATCACAGAGATCACAGAGATTATAGAGATCACAGAGATTATAGAGATTATAAAATCCACGACAGACACGAGTGATTCTATGAACAGACCTGTGGAACAGACTTTCACCCTCATTCTGTATCAGCCCCTGAACTTTCACAGAATCTTTCTCCTTTTCTGGTTTTGTGATTTATGTTTCTGAAATATTTAGAATCTTGACTTCAGATGAAAGTTAATAAAACACATGATTTCCTGTCACGTTCCCACAGTCACAGATCTGAGTGGATCCATCACACGTGAGCGATAAGAGCTGCACTCTGACTGGGTGTGTAGAAATAAATGCTCCTCGTTAATAAATAAAAATCAGTGTCAAACAAAAAGCTTCTTCAGTTTTATTCCAACATATTCTGTTCTCAACCTGCTCAACAACATTCATGTATAAAACATTATCTCATCTGAAACTTGATTCTCAAACTTTCATTTAAATATTTGACTCCGAGCATCAGGTGTTCATGAGACCTGATCATCATCAACAGAGGAGCTCCACAGGGATCTGGTTCAGGTCCTCTTCACATCTGACATCATCAACCATCATCACTTCTGACTGTATGTGACACTTTATTATTGTGTATCTTATGTTGTACATAGACAAGTTATTGTGTAACTATAAATGTATCTCATCATTATTCATGTTCTGTCTTTAATTACTTTAACAACTTTAACAAGCTTTCCTACACACACACACACACACACACACACACACACACACACACACACANACACACACACACACACACACACACACTTGATTGACGACTGGACAGATTTGAACATGCTGGATCTTCATTCTGAATAAAGACGGAGACTCGTAGAAGGTCAGGATTATTCTTGCGTTGGCTCCGGCTCAGGTTTGTCTGACATCACATCTCGCTCTGCTGAATCTGAGGAACACAGAAATCACGTGACAGCCGTCGGCCAATCAAGGCGCCGGAAAGACTCTGCTGATCCCTTTTGTCTGTTGGCCATCGATGCTGCAACGTGAACGTGAACTGTGCCAACTGGCAGCCAGGACGTGACACGAGCCGAAGATTCACACACACAC